GCACTAACGAGCTTGATAAATGAATTTACTACATTTTCACTCAATAAGCTATTAGTACCGATAATGGTGGTTGTAAAACATCATCAAAACATAAGGGCTAACAGTAATTACTCAAAAGAGGTTTGGAATGGGATCATGGAGTGACTCAAATACAAATGGAGAACATGTGAATGAGATCTACTGATAAATTGGTATAATCACAGATTAAAGGGGAAGGGGTTTAAGCAAAGAACCAAAAGAATGGCACTATATATGGAAGGAGCGTAACTGTAGAATCTTCAAACATGAAGCTCAAAATACTGCCCTTTTGATCAGAAGCATCAAAATTGAGGTTTTGACTGTCATCCTCAATAACAACTCCCTATCGGCTGAATTCAGAGAGTGGGGGTTATCCCTATAGGGTGTTTGTTTCTTGTTTTTCTTTTAGTAGTTAAGTGTTCCCTGTGTATCCTCACAGGAGCTTTATAATTTTCTCATGTCATGAGTTCTTTGATGTACATAAACCTCTTCATTTGGTAAATGAATAAATTCTTTCATTGATAAAAAAAAAAGCTCACCCTCATTTTTAAAGGAGAACATCAGCTAATTTAATAAAGGTTTGACGTTTTTCGGAAATACAGTTCTACCAAAAGAAACTGAAACTAAGGGTAGAAACCAATATGCAAACAAAATATACTCATTGGCAGATTGTAACTCATCAGCTTCCACCTCAGCCAGGTATAATCGAAAATCCCCATTTTGATAGCAACCAGGTGAATAGGTGAGAGATGGGTTGTGAGTGATTTGTGTCAGGATTTCGAAACAAAATGGGAAAATTTTGGTTCTTGATAGCAAATGAATTGCCACTGCCCGTGAATCTATTAGATGTGAACGCAAGAAAACGCAACCCATATTTTCCCCCTCTCATAATGGGATAGATAACCATGCTTATGATGAACATACATTGTGAATATGATATATATAGTTTTATTTTGGGTTTTTATATGGAAACTATTTTTAAAATAGGGGTGGCGAAGAGCCGACATCGAGGTGCCAAACCTTCCCGTCGATGTGAACTCTTAAAGAGATTGTTGGGGAATTTTAGTCTCCCCGCCTACTATGATCTGCACAACTTGGAAGCCAAACCACAATCAACAAGATATAAAACAACCACAATCAAGAAGAAATAACACCGAGATTTACATGGTTTCGGTCGACCAACTTCGAGCTGCATACATGGGGCAACAATACGAGAAATTAATTATGTATCAGGGAGAACTACAAGAGGAACTACTCAACTCTCGTCTCTCAATCTCTTAACCTAACATACATAATCAACTCTCATATTCTCTCCAAAACCAATCCTTATAATTTTTTGAATGGACAAAGACTGCGAAACCCTCTCCTAATGATGTAATCTTTTGTACGGACAAAGACTACGAAACCCTTTCCCAATGATGTAATCTTTTGCACGGACAAAGACTACGAAACCCTCGCCTCTCGCATAATATTCTTAAATTAGGTTATGCCCTCTGCTAACCCTAGACTATAAGAATATTGGCTCTATCTGCTTGTTTTTTTCTCCATCAATAGAAGAATATATATAGGGAAACAAAAACCCTATCTCTAGCCTAACTTTTTAATTAGAATATGATTCAAACTCCTAATCATGATGAGACTCAATCTCCTAATCATGATAGATCTCCAACCCTATCTAATTCTCATGAAGTTATACAAAGAATCAAAGACATAATCCTTACAAAGATCAGCTTGTTATCCTTAGAGTAACTTTTATCCGTTGGGCGACTGCCCTTCCACTCAGCACTGTCGGATTACTAAGGCCGACTTTCGTTCCTGCTCGATGGGTCAGTCTTGTAGTCAAGCTCCCTTATGCCTTTGCACTCGAGGGTCAATCTCCGTCTGGCTTGAGGAAACTTTTGCACACATCTGTTACCTTTTGGGAGGCCTACGCCCATAGAAACTATTTACTTGAAACCGTTCATTGGCTCGTAGGTCCTGACACAATGTTAGAATTCTAGCTCTTCTAGAGTGGTATCTCACCCCCCCCCCCCCCCCCACCCCTAAGCTTTTATTGTTTAATTTATATAGGAACCGCTTTTAAAGTATATTTCGTTCCAATCAACCACCAAAACTCATTACATGTTGACTTTTTTGTTAAAATTCCTATAACACCCTTCTTTTCACACACACTCTCCTCTATTTCTTCTAATTCCCCTCTATCTAGGGCCCACAGATCTCGATGGGCGGCACGAACACCACGATTACCCATGACAAATCCCAACGGGTTCACGACGAGATTGGAGGTGGTGCTGCAGAGAGAGAGAGAGAGAGAGAGAGAGAAGAGAGAGCAGTAAGAGAGAGAGAGAGAGAGAGGAGAGAGAGAGAGAGAGAAGAGAGAGAGAGAGGAACCAACATAGATCTGTCTTCGACCACTATAGCACCCCGAGAAGAACCAATAGGGATCTGTCTTCGGCCACTGTAGCACCCCCACCCTTGTTGCACGTATGTTTTGCCTAGATCTGTGGGCCCTAGTTCGATGCCAAGATCTGTAGGCCCTAGAGAGAGGAGAGAGAGTAAAAAGAGGGGTATTAAAGTAATTTTGATAAAAAATCAACAGGAAATAGATTTTGGTGGTTGATTAAAACGAAATATACTCTAAAGATGGTTCTCGTATAAATTAAATAATAAATGTGGTTCATGTATTACATCACTATTTTAAAGGTGGTTTCCATATAAAAATCCATTTATTTGTTGCTATTTTTTCTTAAAAAATAATCAATATAAGAACATAAAGGTAATGTAACCTAAAGTTGGGTTAAAGTTAAGTAAAAGAAACAACAATTTTTTTAAGAATAATCAATATAAGGCATTGTTTGCATTTCCATTTGAGCGTCCCACATAACATTTTTTTTACATTTTCTATTTGTTCAATCAAACAAAAAGAATGAAAGTTTCATAAGTAACCCGTACCGTTTAAACAGTTTTTTTTCTTTTTTTAACAATTAAGCAGTCCAATGCACATCCTTCCCCACGGGTGGGTAGTAGGACTCCCTAGCTTATCCCATGGGGTAGCCTGTGCGGGCTC